GTGAAGGGGAATCCCAGGAGTCTTTAGAACAAGGCAGGTTGTGAAAGGATAGAAATCTCAAACTCCAAAATATGAGAGCAATTCAGAGCGGATGATGTGCTTTGCCTCAGGAAAGCTGGAAAAACTAACAGCACAGCCCCAAATATTTCTTTCATTTTTGTGTTTTAACTGCAGGACTTAGTCCTTACAGATAGCACAAGTAGCATCTCGCCCTGTGAACATCTGTCTGAGAGTGTGGGATGGAGTAAGAAGCGGCTGAAATGCTTTGATCCTTCCAGGGGGTATTTTTGTCCCTTTGGGTTGGCTGCTTGCCACTCACAGCAGCTCCTGTGCCTGTGGATCTCTGCATCTTTGGTGGTAGAAAAGGAATAAGGACATTGGTGATGTTTGCCTCTTTCTGAGCTGCTTCAGATCAGACTCCCGGGTCTGTGCTGGGAGGGAGGAGAAGGGAGCAGAGAGGAGGGACATTCCTGCTGGCTCAGCTCAGTTCTGGTGGCCTGAATCTGTATCCTGGAGACGTGGCTCCACTGGCAGCTTCTGGGAGCTGTTGCAAGCAACATTTCCCTCCCTTGCACTGTGACTAACAGGAGCCAGCCCCCGGTGTCTCTTGTTTGTATTAGGAAGCATCCTGGACTTTCTCTGATGTGAAAAATGCATATTTTATGGTTGGCTTTTCGCAAATATTAAAATGAATATTATATGTGTTGTGTCAGAAAGTGATGCTGTGTTAATTTTCTTAAGTAGTGTGTTAAATATAGTTTTAGGTTATAACATAAAGTTAAAATAGAAACTATGCTATGTAAGATGCTTCTTTTTAAAGAAAGAACTCACAGCAAGGTAGGAGCCACAGGATACCTAAATCTTTCAGAGAAAGAGAATTTATTGCTCCATTATCAGAAGAAATGAACTTCTTCCTGCCTTGTTCAGCCATGAAAACGCTGGTTAGGATTCAGAGGAAGAAGCTGACACTGCCCAGACAGAATCCTGTGTTTGAATGGGATTTATGCATCATGGATGAGGTGTATGAATATGCAACAGGCTGTTGCCTTTAAGGGTTAATCCTCTGTTAACATGCATCCTTTTTCGGGCTTGTGCTGCCCAGAAAGAGGTACCTGGACTGTCCATAACTCTTTGTTTCTATTGTCTCATATTGTCCTAATCCAAATTGTCCCAATTATTACTACTCTAATAATATTCCTATTTTTATAACCATTTTATTACTACTAAACATTTAAAATTTTAAAAACAATTGATTGGCATTTTTCACATCTGAAATGAACGTGTCATCAAAGCCTGTTTGCTTATTCTGAATCCCTGCCCCCTCCTCTGCTAATGGTGTGCAGGGCTGTGCTTATTGAGCTGTTGTAATATTTAATGTGAGTTTCTGCATGGCTGGTGCAGCTGGCAGTAAGCTTTAACTCATTGTGCTGGCAGGGGATCTGCTGACCTGCTGCTCAGGCACTCAGGCTGCTTGTCTTGTCTTCACATCTTTCCCTTAAGAAGTTTTCCTTCTGCTCTGGAAAACCTTGTGCTTGCCCAGGTCCTGCTCTGGACCAGTGAGCTGTGTGGCCCTGGAGGCTCCTCAGCCTCTGGATATTGCACATCTGCTTCCAGATTTCTCACTGATTCTTGGAAGGTGAAATAGCAGTGAAATAGTAATTCCACAAGCTCTGGGTTTGCATGGGAGGAGCGCAGGTAGCTGCCTCTGTTTGGGAGAAAAAGTGTGGAAGGTAAAAAAGACATAACCTGCTCAGATCCCACTTTTCAGGCTGCTGCAAGCTGCTCAGTGAGTCCTTCCTGATCCAGTAGTTAGTTTTCCATGTGGTTTGCTGCAGTTATTCTCACTCAGCTGTAGTGACTGTCAGGATAAATTCCTCCCAGAATCCACCCTCACATTCTGAGAAATAGGAGAGACTGTGTCTGTGCCACAGATGACATCAGCTCAGTGCATGGAGCTGGAATGGTGAACAAGTTATTTCAGTATTCCTGCTGTTCCCTCATTTGGGAGAGTGCTACAGATCCCCCATTCCTCTCATACTGGTGTGTGGAAAGCCCTGCTGAAAAAGTGAATGTGGCTAAAATAAAATAAAAATAAAAGAAAAATGAACTGTGTCCTCACCGCAGATTGCAGCCTTACAGCCTTCCTCTTCCAAATCTGTTATTTTCTGATGGCAGTAAATTGTAGCAGTGAAAAATAAGACCTTTTAGATACATTAGATCAAAATGGGGAGCACCTGGAGTGAGACACTGTGACCTGCATGATGTGACACCTGCAAGTGGGACTTTGTGCCTGTTCCTCAGGTCAGAGCACAGCGAGCAGAGCTGGCTAAATACACTCTTCTTTCAGGTGGAGCATCTC